GTCAAGGAAATTGGATTAACTTTTTCTCTCGAACGCTGACATGATTCTTGAAATGAAACGAACAACAACGTGGTATTATATGGATTTTAATGACATTGAGGATTCTTTTAAAGAAACTCGATATGATACTGAAACGTGAAAAAATATTAGCAAAAGGAAGTAACGTGTTAGATAAACGACGATCGTTATCAAGGTGTGTATTTGACCAAGCTTTTTTAGCAACGATAGATGGTAGATATTCGAAAGCGAATTTAAAAGTCTTTGACAAATATGAATTATTACGTCACGACTATTGGCATTGCTTGATTTCGATTATGATCAAACAGTCTGACCTCTGACCGCGAACGAGAGTATTCAACGGCCGATTGTGGAACAATTTATCGCACCTTTGTTTCCAGTATATTCAGCTCGTTCGATAAGCGAATTTCGAGACTAGAGAATTTTATTTGCAGTCCGAGCGACGCCAGATTGTGAAATAAAATCTCGAAGTTGATCTTGCGTTGTCTGCAAAATATCTGTATTTATCGGGCGTAGTTACACTTATCTACTAACACGAAAGCGCATCATCGTTCGACATATGTACTTTTAATTAAACGCTCTATCTCCACGGATGTGAATCATAAAGATAATCTTCTCGTCCGATAAAATTAATAAAAAGTGTTACATCGCTGAATGGTATTTTATTATCGACAACATACAGACTTTTGTGGTCTTCGAAACACCATTCGGCCATTCACACGATCATCCATGCAAGAAGATGCACAACGCAACTCGTCGCGTCTGCTAATTATCAGCAGATAATTGAAACGAGAACGACACCAGTCGTTCTGGTGTGGCGACAGAAGTACTTTCGTCGGACGAAAAGTCGAGCACGATGATGATGCACTCCTTTGAACCAGCCTTCCACCAGCCAAGACTCGTTTGACGACTCGCCAAGGAACGGGGTCAATTGCATGCAATTCTGACTAATTCTAAGCGGGTCTAGGAGCGACAGTGGTAATACTGGTAGCGTACACGCTTTCGTTAGACAGAGTCGTTTAACATCCGATAAAAAGAAAGTGCCTCACGTTGTTTCGGTACTTCATAACTGATGTACGTGGGTTCGGGCAGAAGTAAGATTCGTACACTGTGTAACGTACGAGTAGCTTCTCTCTTCTCTTTTCTTTTCTTTTTTCCCTTTCATTTCACTCGACGCAGCTAACCACGTTGTTATGAAATCTCGAAACGTCTGGTTCGATTGATTTTTTTTTTTAAAAAAAGACCAAACTGATATATCTAATCGACGGTGTGCTTTCGCGAAGAACGGAAACGCCTACCGCGGCAGCCTGTTCGACATTTCTCGGATAACCTGTTTATACATATTGGAACAGATATATATATGTATGTATGTATACGCTGGTCGTAATATAATGGTTGCAGATTTCTCTGATTGGTCCTTTTATAAGCAGCTTTTACGCGGATAGATATTGATTCGTGCGATTTATTACGTAACGAGTTTCTTCTTGTTCCTCGTTAACCTCAATCGTCACTCCTTCTACGTGTTTTGCTCGTCTTCCTGTATTCTCTAAATTACCAGCACCCTATCTCTCATGCTTGTATTAATTGAGATTGAAAATCTGGTCTGATTGAAAAAAGAACAAATGAAAAAAAAAATATATATATATATTTGAAACAATAGATATCAGGTAATTCTATTTGGAAATACAACGAATGTTCTCAAATCAAACATTTCTTTCAATGGTGTTATACAAATTCTATAAAATATATAAAAGGCTGATAGATCATATAACATATTCACAACGTTTCCAAACTGTCGAAAATCTAGTCTGTTCGGAAAACATGGTTATATAACGTAATTTTCTGGCTGGTGACGAGCGTCCTCGTCCCTGCACCGACTTCGTTCCGAGCGAAGCGTCGCTGTTCCGTCGTTGACGAGGAAATAGCTGCGCCGGAGAGAGCTCCGCGAGGATAAGGAGCAAGTGACAGGGGACAAGAGTGACAACGACGAACGGAGAAACAATGGGCAGCGAGTCGAGACCGACGGACACCGGACACGGAATCACGGGAGCGTCTCGAGGAACGGTATCTTCACTCACGACACTTTATCTCACGAGTAAATGGTTAAATTGCTCGACATTATTAACCAAGCTCAATTTACCGTTAGAACACGTGGACCATCCGACGAAATATTCGAGCCCCGATTGTTTTTTCTTTTTTTTTTTTTTCGAGCCTCGATCGAGGCTAATTCCATGGTAAAAAAAAAAAAAAA